TGACCCCCCTCCCCGCAGACAACTCCCCAACCGGACCCATGGACACCGAGCTGGGGGCCCCCATCCCTCCCTCCACGCCACGGACCAGCCCCCCCCACTCATGGCCATGGCCAGGGTGGGGGCATCTGTACCCCCCCCCCATGCTTTACCCCCCCCTTATTTGCCCCCTACGCCCCGTCCCTGAGCTTGCAGGGCCCCGTCTCTAGCTGGGGGCCCGCACCCAGCCCAGGCCGCCGGGCTGGGGCTGAGGCAATGAGGGCGGCCATCTTGTCACTCAGACTAGCCTGGCCGGCCGCTTGGCGCGGAGCCGGGCCCAGGCCCGGCTGGCGTGAGCCCAGCAGCCATCTTGGCGCTGAGGCGTGACCAGCGGCCATCTTGGTGCCCATGCCCCCAACCAAGCCCCACTCAGTCAGTGAGGCGGGGCTGGGCCTGGGGCCTGGGGCCTGTTCTGAGGGGAATCATGAGGGAAAGTGGGTTTCATTTCGTGTGGACTGACCAAGGAGGGTGGGGGAGGGTAAAGTTCTGCCAACATCCGGGTACTAAAACAACCGTTAGTGCGGGGGGGGGGGAGCGAGGAAACTGAAGAAAAGAGTGCGCATGCGCAGAGGAAAAGGGTGGGATGGCGGCGCGCACGTGCCAGTTTTGGGGCCCAGGATACGCCTGCGCAATAGGAAAACGGGGCGGAACGAACACTATGCGCCTGTGGTTTTGAGCCTGGGGGCGACAGGGAGCGCATTCTGCGCATGCGTAAGAGGCAACATCACATCCGGGTCGTAGAGACGCCGCCATCTTTCGTCTGGTGTGGAGGAGAAGGGTCCAAAATGGCGGCTCCCAGGGGGCTGGCATCCGCAGTCTCCCCACGCCGCGGGTAGATCTCCCGCCCCGCCCGCGGCGACTGGAGTCCGCGCACCGCTGCGCACAGGTATTATTGTAATCCCTTGAAACGTTCGGTCGCGTAGCAACGGCAGCCGGCCCCTTCGGCCGCCATCTTGAGCAGCCACCTCCGGGTAGGAGGTGGTCGCCATCTTGAAAAACGGCCACATCCACGCACTTAGGCCGCCATCTTGGAAAGCAACTAACATCCGGGTAAGTAACAGCAAGCCGTCATGTTCTGGCCTTCTGGCGGGGAGGTGCATCCGGGTACCTGAGGGGCGGGGGCGGCTGCCGCCATCTTGTTTCCCTCCGGAGGAGGGAGCGACATCCGGGCATTTAGTGAAGGCGACATCTTGGGCCCCTTTTGACGACGGTCGCTCTCTTGGAGATTTCTTGGTCGTACCGCTCAGCGAGCCGCCATCTTGTATACCACAAAGCGGGGCGTCGCACATCCGGGCATCCCTGGCCCCGCCATCTTGGAGCCGGCCTACTACATCCGGGCATCGAGCGAGGCGCCCCATTGGCCCCAGTCTAACAAACGGGACAGGCACATCCGGGCATTGAGACGGCGGCCATCTTGGGCAGGGATTCCCGCTGAGCCGCCTTCATCCGGGTCCTTGAGCGGGAGGCCATCTTGGCTGAGCGGCCGCCTCCGGGCGTTTGGAGAGACGCCATCTTGGAGAGCGTTATGCAAGCGGCCGGCTCATCCGGGCATTTCGCCGGGGGGGAGGGGGCGCCAAGATGGCTGCCCCCAGGACAGCGTGCAAATAAAAGTGCGGCCGCTCCAAGCCCCAGCTCGACCCCCGCCCCCGAGCGAGGGCGGTATCCCTCTCACCCCCCCCCCGGGAAATCCCGGCTTCCACTGCCCCCAGGAATAATGGGGGGGGGGGCAAGATGGCGGCCCCTATGGGAGGGCGGAGCCAAGATGGCGGCGCCCAGGCCCGACGGTGCCCGCCGTACAGCGGAGCTGGTGCTGGGGTAGGCGGCCGCCGCCCCGCGCGGGGAGGGGAGCGGAGCGGCCGGGGTAACGCTGACCTTGGGGGGAAGCGCAGAGCTGGGGGGGGCTGGGCGGAGTCCAAGATGGCGGCGCCCATGTGAGGCTTCCCTGCAACGGCGGCTTGGGCGTGGGGGGCACACAGCCCCCCCCCCCTCCCCCAGCGCATCTCCACAGTGGGGCTGGGCCCGGGGGGGAAACTGAGGCACACCTGGGGAGAACACCTGGGAGGGAGCCACTGGAAAGATGGCGCAGCCTGGCATTTGGGGGTGGGGGACCCCCTTTAGCTTGGGAGGGGGAAACTGAGGCACGAAGCAGGGCTTGACACGGGGGGGGCGTCTCCTTCCATCCGAGATGGCGGCGCCTGTGCCAAGCAGGGCCTGCCTTCCCGCTTCGGGGTGGGGTGCCCTACCCGCCAGTGGGCATAGTACGGGAGGGGGGGCGCTTTCCCTACAGAAGCAGGGAGGGGTTTCTTCCCGGCCATGATGGTTGCGCTCATGTCAAGCTGAGCTCAACACTGGGCCTTGTGTTTTGGCGTGGGGCCCTCATCTTCCGGGGGGGGGGGCGGGAGTTCACCCCGGGGACTTTGCCGTTCAAGATGGCCACCCTCGTGTCAAGCAGAGATCCGTGTAAGGCCGGGCTGCTCCCCCTTTTTCTTTCTGTGCCCCCCGCCCCCCAACGTGCTACAAAACTTCTCGGCCCACCCGTGTCACAAGTGTTCTGCATAGAGGAGCCCAGGGTGGCAACCGGGGCAATTCCCCGGGGCCCAGCACCAGAGGGGCTCGTCCCCCGGCACGCTGCTCGCGGCCTGGGCTCCCGCCTGAGGACTGAGCTAGTAACGGGGTGCTGACCCAGGGGGGCGGCGTTTCCTGCCAGCCAAGATGGCGACGCTCCTGCCCAGCCAGTCGTATTCCCTTTTATTTCTGGGAGGTGGGCTCCCCTTTCGCTGGAGAGAAACTGAGGCACTTGCGTCTGAAGAAGTGGGGTTCTCACCCACGCAAGCTTGTGCTCCCCCGACCTCTGTTAGTCTTACAGGTGCCCCAGCCCCTCTGCTGCTTGGGGAGAGGCGAGGGGAATCAGACTACAAGGGGGGTGGGCTTTCCTCCCCATCCTGGCTGGCAGCGCCCCTTTGATTGTGGGGTGGGGTCCCTTTAGCCGGGGGGGGGTGCGGAGCCCGTCCGTGCCGTACAGCGGTTTTTTTTCGGGGGGGGGGAGTCCCCCTAGCCGTGGGGGGACACGTTGGTTTAGTGAGTGGGGGGAGGGGCTCGGGTTATTTTTACCCCACCCCGGTTGGGGGAGGGGCTGTCCCGCCGCCCAAGATGGCGGCGCCCAGCGTGCCCGCCCCCAAGATGGCGGCGCCCAGTGGGAGGAGTCCGTACGGCGCGCCCCGCCCCGCCCCCGGCCGCGGCCGAGCCGGGCAGGAGGAAGGAAGAGCGGCTCCCCTCACACAGCAGGCGCAAGATGGCGGCTCCCAGGGCGGCGTGAAGGCGCCTGGCGTCCAGCCGCCGCTTCCCGCCCCCGTCCGGTGCCGTACAGCGGGGCCGGGCTGGGGCCGGGCGGCGCCG